TAATCTTACTCTTTTGGTCATGTTTAACAACGTTGTTGTTGTTGTTTTAGATTTAGCTACTCAGAACGAAATGTAGCACGAGCGATGGTGAACCCGTAATTGAGGTTAGTTATTCGCGATAACCTTGTTACTCTGATATTTGAGTCCAAGTTTTAATTGGAGGTAGGGTTTCCTCCTTGTTCCCTGTTTCTTTTTTGCTTCTGTTTTAGTGCACTGGTTTTAGTCGTCTTGTTCTAATAACATTATCTTGATGGAATTCATTACCAAGAAGTTATCATATATAAGTGTAGGTACACCTCACTTTACTATTCACCTAACTTTCTTAATCGTAGGGCGTAGGGAAGGGTGAAGTGAGTGTTGGCTGACTCCGGCCTCTAGTTGTCTACCAGGTCTTACATCTTCCCTCTGGGTCAATGGAGGACCATCGAACAGTTGTATGCGCGATGCTCAATTCATCTGGATGTTGATATCTGGTGTCAGCTCCAGAATAAACACAGCCTCAAGCATACGAAGCTTCTTACGATCGTCGATGCGTGTGATTACTGTCGTATCTTACACTATGTCTTGGCATTTTAGGATGGTGTTGTGGTAACACCATCCTGAATCGCCAGGGCGTAGTGAAAGATATAGTGAATCAACCATCCAGGTCTTCTTCCCAGTCAGTTTCTTGAAGAATTTAATTTCCCAAATGGTACCGTGTATCTGCACATTCTTTCAATACCCATGGTGAGATTCTGTCCAGACCACCAGTCATTATAATGTCCAAATCAAACAGATGCCTCTTAACCTCATCTCTGGTAATTTCGCACCTCCCAAGGCCAGCTGGTTTACTGCCACTTCTCCTAGCTCAGGGACTTCACCTCGATCTGTTGAGAAGACCTCCTGGAATCTCTTATTGAATTCACACACTTTTTTGTCATTCTCTGTGTACCTGTCCTCACCCGTTCTAAGTTTCATCACCTGTTCTTTCACTGTTGTTTTCCTCTGACTGTGGAGCAGTTTTGGTTCGTTCTTGGCTTTATGTCATTTACAATGATTGATCCAAGAAATTATCATAACAAGATAACAATAGACAAATTAGATAACATGATACAAGTTAGGTAGTTCCTGCTTCTCTTCTCACACTAACATACTCATTCATGGCTTTCTGGTATCTCTCTGCTTTTTGATGTTCTGTTATTTCGGAAGTTCTTCTACGCTCATTTGTTCAGTTTCTTTGGTTCCATACATGCCCTATTAAACCACAGATTCTTCTTTTGCTTCTCATATTTTTCCTTTGGGCTGGGATATACTTGTTTAATGCCGACCGACACTTTTGGATGAAATAGTCCATCATGTCTTGTACGGACTCAGTTAAGAGTTGTGTGCGCAATGGTATTTTTCTTAGGAATTTTCTCATTGCCTCATAATTTCCCTTTCGGTACGCCTTTCCCTTGTTTTTACAATTTAAATTTATTTTTTTTGTTAAATGTTTTTAAAATTTAAAAATGTTTTACAATTTATTTTTTTTACAATTTAAACAATTTCCCTTGTTTTCTAATGCTTTTTAGGGGGGAGAGATTACTCCTAGCTCTACCAGGTACTCAAATATCAGTACACTGTGATCACTCATTCCCAAGGGTGCTTCCAACTTAACTTCTCCTAATGTCCGATTCATTCAGGGAAAATATCTGATCAAGCATGGGTAGTTCATCATCATCTCTCATTCTTGTCAGTCCCTTGACGTGTTGGTTTAGAAAGTTTCTTGTTGCCACGTCCAGCAGCTTAGCGCTCCATGTGTCTGGTCCTCCATGTGGGTCTCTGTTCTCCCAATCTATCTTCCCATGGTTGAAGTCTCTCCATGATTAACAGTCTGGATACGTTCCTGCTAGCGACAGAATAGGTTCTCTGTTATATTAATTATAGCCATGTTGTTTCTATCATATTCCTGTCTGGGTCTTCTGTCATTTGGTGACGGGCTGTTTATGACTTCTACTCATAAGTTTTTGTCCTCCAATTGGTATGGTACCTGTTATGTAGTAACTGAAACCATCACAGCCCTGAATAATCATCTCTTAAAAACTCCAAGTTTTTCTTATCAGCAGAGCTACTCCACCTCCCCCTCTTCCTTCTCTCTCTTTCCTCACTACATTGCATTCCTGCGGAAACACTGCATTTGTTGTGGTTTTCGTTAGCTTTGTTTCTATGTCATTATGTCTGGGTTTTCTTCTTGTGCCCATTCTCCAAGTTTACTTGTTTAATTTGTAATCCCCATCTAGGTTTGTGTACATTGTCTTGAAGCTCAGTTTCTTCTGTCCATTCTCGTTTCCTCTTTTTGGTGGTCTTTCTGGCTAATGCAGGGAGTTGTTCCATAGGTGTAGAGATTTGTGAGATGGTTAACAGGGTCTCAGGATTCTTGGGTGAGGGATGGGGGACAGGAAGGGTATGTGGGACACGGAGTGGATGGGATGAGGGGGATAGGGAGGGAATGGGGTGATGGGGAGAGGAAAGGATGAATGAGCATTTGAGTAGGGCCAGGAAGTGTTCAGGGATATGGAGGGTTCCTATGGGGAGGAAGGTGGGGGTGTTGCCCTTCACCCTGGGGTGCTGGTTGGGAGTTCCCCACTCCCCTCAGGAACTGTTGTGTTGGAGTTGTGGTTGCCTGGTTCTCTCCTCTCCCCCTGCACTTCTTGCTTGCCTCTGCTGCCATGGCTGTCTCTTCTCTCGTCATGTCCCTCTGGAGGAATACGTTTTTGCATCATCTCACATTTACTGGTTGGCTTCTCCTTGCTAGAATTTCCTCCTTCGTGATCTCGTTTGTAAACACTATCGTGTGTGTGTGTGTGTGTGTGTGTGTGTGTGTGTGTGTGTGTGTGTGTGTGTGTGTGTGTGTGTGTGTGTGTTTTCTTCCTCGTCTCCCACGCAATAACACCTAACTTTCCGCCTCAGGACTTAACCGAGGCGCGTTATCAATTAACGCAGATCATAAATTAGCTGACGTTCCTCGCCGTTTCGGGTAATACGCATTAATTACCGACGAAAGCACCGCCTCTGAAGCCCATAAT